TTTAAAAAAACATTATAAACAGTTGTTGATTAGATTCTGACAAATACTGTTTTATGTTCATTTTTTGCAAAAAAAGTACAAAAACTGTATCTGAAATTCTTAAGTGCTCGGTTTTTGTAAGACAAAAAAAAAAAAACCAAGAATCAGCAACAGTTCAACAATTTTAGGGCTTAAACTACAATTTAACTTCTACAGAAAGTAGCCATTTTGTTTGTCCAACTTATATTCAGAATAAAACAAAAATTTTACTAATTTATTGAAGATACTCTGTTCAGCGTGCAGTATACCGGTGTAAATTTGTTCATACTGTTTAATAATCTAAATTTTTTTCTTTCTCTTTGTTTTTTTTTCTGTTCTTTTCTGTTTCTGACTTATTGCATCAACAACATAAATCAAACTGGCAAAGTGATCAAAATTAATTGTGTCTTTTTTGGAACCAATAGTGCTAAAAAATAAATTAAGATACGCTGTGAAAATTTTGATAGCTGCAGTTTTAATAGAAAAAAAAAGAAGAAGAAGAAGGTGACAGAAAGACAGTAAGAAAAAAGTGATTGAAAGAAGGGAAGCCGACGAGAAGAAATAAATAAGCATTAAGCATTATTTAGCCGATCCATAAGGCGTTTAAAACGTCTTTATTAGAGTCGTCAGAATGTCTTTATTAGAGTCGTCAGTCTTTATTGAGATGAATCCCGAAACAAACCTCCTCAGTCTGAAGCCTTAACAAACCATAAAAAAAAAATGCTTGATCGTTTTCAATCGTTTTTCATCAATTCGTTGTGCCAAAATTACTGCTTTAGCACCACACTATAAGTGTATATGCTTATCTATTTATTTATTTTACAACAAAAAGCTTCAGTTTTGCTTAAACACAATAGCTTTGAATGACATAATATAGGCGACTTTCTGAAAAAAGACAAAAAAATTATAGGAGAAGAGAAGATTTTTAAAAAGTGATTAAAATAATCAAAAAAAAAAAGCTGTTTTTTTTCTTTGTTTGTCTAAGTATATTTGTTGTTTAAAAAATTTATATGCTCATTAAGAGAAAATAGTCAATGAAGTCGATTGTCGACCACAGTAATCCAAATGTTTATTAATATTTCAACAACAACAACAGCAAATACTTATTTTTTCAATAGTCAACAGAATCAATCACTGTTAACAGTTTAATAAATGCAGAAAAAAAAAAAGTGATAAAAAGATCTAAAATTAGTGTAAAAAAAACTATTTTGTTGTTGTTGTTGTTGTTGTTGTT